TGTTGTTAAATATTGAAATTGTTACCCGAATTGGAATGACCATTGATGACCAGCTCTTCATTTACCTAATAAACACAGTAAAAGGGGAAAGAAAAGTGAAGGTTTGTCCATTCAAGTCGAACCTTATTTCTTTGAGTTGTTCCGACGCAATTATAGCAGCCACGTTGTAATTAATAGGGTTGTAGATAAACAAGGACAACCAGATAAACATACACTCGTTGGCTTGGCACAAACATGCATGGTGATGAGCCCTCCATTTTAGTTCTCATTTCTGCTATTTTATCAGAAAATTATATTTTTCTGCCATTTACGGTGACTCTAAATTTTTGCTTCAAGGGGAAGGCATGCGGTTGTCTGAAAAAAGACGTACGGTGAATCCAAAGTTGGTGTTTTTGGAAAGTGTTTTTTTTTTTCTTTTCATTTTTTACAGTGTCGTAGATAAGCGTTTTCATCTGATAAATAAAAAAAAATACTTTCATAAATTTATAAATAAATAAAAAAGAAAAAAAGAGAGGTGATATATTAAGATTTTTATGTGAAGGAGCTAAGAAAGCACTCAAACAATATCCGATTTAATTAAGGGGAGCAATTCATCGTTTAGCTACATGTACTTAGGCCCCGTTTGGTTCACGGAACGGATTTGAGGGGAAATAAGAGGTGATATATTAAGATTTTTATGTAAAGGAGCTGCATAAGAAAGCACTCAAACAATATCCGATTTAATTAAGGGGAGCGATTCATCGTTTAGCTACATGTACTTAGGTCCTGTTTGGTTCACGGAACGGATTTGAGGGGAAATCACTTCCCATGTCATTTCCCCTTGGGAAATGAAAATTCATTTCCTATGTTACTTTATTTCCTTTCACATGGTTGGTTTGTGTAGGAATGTAAAATAAAGTTTGTTTAATTTTTCAATTATACCCATATGGAATCACATAAAAAAAGAATACATTTAATGTTATATTGTAATTCTAAATTGTCAATGAAAACAAAATGGTCATGAAAAATATGTATTTAATGTTGGCTCATTTTCTCAAACTTTCGTATGAGGAGGAAAACAAAACCCGAGGTAGGAGGAGAGCTTCACTTTCTCCCCTACTTTCCCATGTGCAAGGCAACGATTTCCCATGCTTGGACCCAAACATGGGAAAGCAATTGATTTTTCATCCCTAAGCCTCCTTTCTCATGAACCAAATGGGGCCTTAGGGTTTAGGATTTAGAGCTCAAGTCCTTTTGTTTTTGTTTTTGTTTTTGTTTTGTTTTTTTGACATAAGCTTCCTTTCTCAAACGTAGGACCCTGGGTGCAAGAAAAACTTAACCACTTCAGTTACCAGCCCCGGAAAATTGAAGCTCAAGTTAGGTTCCGGAAATATGATATTCAACAACATGAATATTAGAGAAGTTAGGCCAACTACCACTGTAACCTTCTGCATCGACATTGATGGATAAAATTGGTTGAACCGATAATGAGAGAAGTGGCCGGTTACATGGCCCTGCCGTATTTACTCTAAACTTAGAACATTGAATAAGACTTAATTGTGTGATCTACCTATTTCAGCAAGCACTGTATTTTGGGTCTTCTTTGTTTAGTTTGACTTGATTGCATTATGTCAAGAAACCTGCTAATATATGAAGTGGGATAAAAACCCAGTTCCACATTTGAGCAGAAATCCATGATAATTACATCCTTACTACTATTGGGTAGAAACTGATAAAGCTTTTAAAACAAACTTTTTTTCCAAACTATTGGCCTCAAATTTCTCATAGGATGAAGTTACGATATTACGAGACACCTCTGTAGAACTCACTAACCTTGTTTGATTTGGTGATTGAGAAAAAAAGTCGGATTCTATAACATCTTCAGAACCATTACCACTAAACAAGAAAGCACAATGTTTGATTTGATGCATGCATATAGAAAAAAGAAAAGTGCCTACAAAAGGAAATTTCGCAATTTCACAATCTAACTCTGGATAGCTACTTGAACCTAAAGGCAATCAACTGGATGGGGCAAAACAAAGGAAAAAAAAATGGGAACAAAGGAAAAAGAAAAAGACGTAATTAACCACAAGAACCAAGCCATGTTCTGACTTCAAAAGGCTGACAAAATATTGTACTGACTTGCGCCATGAGAACAACAAAAAGCAAGCCATGTTCCTCCTTATATTCTTGTCCTCTTGGTGCTTTCTTCGTTAATAAGGAAATCGAGCAAGACTGTGCTTTTGCATTTTGGACACTTCGGATCGGCATCAGATAGCATGACATACATGAGGCACCGTGGACACCCGGCAAGCACCATGGCCTTCGCTTCAGGGCTGCTCTGGTAGTCCATTGTCTGATGTTCAGGCTCCGATGACACGCAAGAGCCGCGGTCAAGCGACATGTTCGAGGATGTTTCGGAGGCATTCGGGGAGCCAATTGGTGAGCGAGCTCTTGGAGGAGACAGGTTTAGCTTCAATTCAAGCTTTGGACTAGTACTTCCTCTTCTGCTCATCTTTATCTCTCACCTATCAAAAACAAATTAGTATACAAGGACATTAATTAAACAGTTGTAATTTTTTTAAACATGATGTAATAGACCAATGTCTTACCTTAATTAATCAAGTACAAACTGAGGCTTCACCAGTAGTACTTATATATGGCAGGCAAAAACAAGATTGAAAGCTAGAGATAGAGAGTCATCCGAATGGTTTGGTGAAGATATGGAAAGGTACCCAGCTATATATAGCAGGAGACGTACTAAGATAAGGGCATTGGGCAAAGAATACCCATCAACAGATGGGTTTGGTGTTCTACTTTTGGACCTCTAAGGCCATGAATTTAAGAGGAAGGTAGAGTTTTTGGGTCAAATTTGATGGTTGATTAATATGTATGGAAATCGAAGAATAAGGAGAATTTGGTGGAAGAATGTGTGCAGGAAATTATAATAAATCACGGCATGTATGTATTTATCCTCATTTAGAGAGGCTGGTGGGTTTGGTGTGTGTATTTAAAATCACAGCCAAAAATATAAATAAATAAATTATATTCCCATACATTCTCTCTGTTGCCTTCAGCTTCTTTTATTTTTCACCTTTTTTATTTATTTTTTCTGAGGGATAGAAAATTCAAAATTTTGAATATATTTCAACAAACCTGCAAAAATTCTTTAAAAAGGTTATAACTAGACAATATATTTTTATCAACATGTGTAACACTACTATTAGAGACTTGACTTTTCGTGAAATGTCTAGGAAGATGTATAGATCGTGTCACAAATTCAACCAAGTTTTTAAGATGATAGTCAAGTTTGCGGCTGATTTAGGAGATCCAAAATTTTAGAATTTGACTATTAACAAGCTCAGAGCATCTATAATGAGCTCTTTAAACTATCTCCTTAGCTAAAATTTAGAGAGGAATTAAAAAAACCCACCTCCAACCGTGCTCTCTATCCAGCTTCTAAAATAAGGAGATCTCTAAGAATTCCTAAATCTGAGGAGACAGAAAGGACTCATAGTGACTTCCTATAATTAAATACTTCTATTATTTAATATTATTTTAAGCATTTATTTAACGCCAACTATTTTTCATTATTACTTTTGTGTCTACACTTTATTTAAAAATTATTAAAAATATTTATGACTCTTTAAACTAGAGAGTATGATTGGAGTTGAAATTTTATAGAGAGTTTTTAAAATAATTTTTTAGTATTTTTAACTAAATTTTAACTAAAAAATAGAGAGCTTGATTACTTAGTGCCTTGTTGAGTAGGCCGTTCAAATATGTAGCTTAGGCCACGTTAAGTGGAATTTGACCTTCACAGTCGCTTATGTCCATGATTTATTTATTTTATATCATTTGAAATTACTTACGTGGAGGGGAGGAGGTTTATATAGGTGGCATATCATTGCTGGACCGGGGGACATGTACTTTAAATAGTGTTAGTCATTTTTAGGCACAGCATGCAAAACTAGTGGTATGACATTACTATGTCCGGTCAGCCTCAACTGCAATGCATTAACCTCCACTCCCGTACTGGACTGGATTTAACTGAAATTATGATGTTCTAACAACCAATCAGACATTAAAATGGTTGTTGTTTTACATCGTTTAAGTTTTAACGACAACGGTAAACCAATCCCTTATTAAATTCATATAACCGTTGATCAACTGGAAGAAAAAAGGAGAAAGAAAAAGTGGTTCATTGTATCTGTAGCATTGAAAGAGACTCCACCCTGCGTAGTAAAAGTACATGCATACTTTGAACTACTACTACGACTAGTCGCACTGAAGTGCTAGCCAAATGGCTAAATGGTTTCTCAGTTCGAGTGGATCTCTTTGCAAAAATGATCTTTGAATGAAGACTTAGAAAATGAACGGTTCAGATAATGTACATGGTCTAAGTATAACGTTTTGGAACAAGGGCTTTTAGTCGTATTAGATATGAAAATGTAAGTCTCGCTTTATCCTTTTGTTTATTTAAGTTTTGTATCAATTTTGAAAGTTGTTAATATCGTGTTGATGGTGGTCTGTGGCTAAATCAAATAGAAAAATTATGTGTTTTGGAACAAGGGCTTTTAGTCGTATTAGATATGAAAATGTAAGTCTCGCTTCATCCTTTTGTTTATTTAAGTTTTGTATCAATTTTGAAAGTTGTTAATATCATGTTGATGGTGGTCTGTGGCTAAATCAAATAGAAAAATTATGAAATCGGAGACGAACCAAGCCGCATTGAATCTTCACCGTGAAAGATGGCAAGAATGCTTATGTAAGAGCTTATACAATTACATTTGGTGTGTTATTGTTGATTCTTATGCGGACATGGGGCTGAAGGTGTAAATGTACTATAGTAACCTCCTCTTGCTTTGCATATTAATAGTCATTTGGCTTTTGGTGTGATGTCTCATTTTCTACTATATATGTGATTTGTGTAGGATGAGATGAAGCAGCTAAACAACCCATCACAAATAGATGGGAAATCCGTTAAAAGTGATGTTTGATGATGAAATACATGACACACTTCTCCTTCTAAAGTAGTAGGTGGCTTAGGAGCAGGTCCCAACGGATGATGATGCTACATATTTCCTGCAACCTGTTCCATTACCGCACCATCCAATGAGCCCCAAAATGGCAACAAAACCGAAATCAAATCCAAGAGAATAAAAACGACGAAAAAGACCCAGATCCAGATTTGTAATTTTGAAGAAAATGACTAAGGCGATGGGGAATGTGGACTGGGGAGAGGGCAACGGCGGGGAGCGCGAGGTTTTGTGGCGGTGTGTTGCTAGGATGGTTGTCGGGAAGTTGAGGAGAGAGTTAAAATGTTGACAAGTTCGGGGCTAGTCTGACCTAAGAGTTTAGGTAGATTTTTGTAGTTAAGATAGAAATTGTTTTATGCATTCTCTTTCTACATATCTCTCATCCCTGTGTTTTCTTCTTCTTTTTTGGGTAAAATAGGGGCAGAGCCCAAAACTAAACTAAACAGAAACAGTTCTATGCCTCATAAGACCAATCTTATCCTCATCTAAATTACTCTGCAGCAGCTCAGGAGGAGATAAACACTCAAAAAATCTCTCTTAATTAAAACTAAACCCTCATAGGCATAAATAAAACTTTGTTTGAATAAATAATTGCTCTGGCTATAACATTTCTTTTAACGAGAGAAAATGTAGTCATAATGTGACAACAAGATTCTTTGAGATGTGAACTTTACATTTGAATAACTTCTGCCTAGTGTGGTAGGCCACTGACACCATGAGTAGTTTCCATTCTAAACTCAAAGTAAATTGTGTAACTTGGTCAAAAAACAAAGGTTTTTACAGGTCAAACATATTACAAGTGTTAGCCAAATATTTCCATGGGCTCAACCTAGTCCTTGAATGTCTGATGTTGTTCAAGTTCAGTAACACGTTCAGTTAGGAAGCTTACAGTGTGATTTGTGGTCTGAGTCTTGCTCCTACACTGTACCAACTGTTCCCGGAGACTACGAACAAGCTCATTTAGTCTCTGAATGTTCTTTTCTTGCAATAATATGATCTATGACAAGTGAGACGTGTTAGATTTGAGGGACACTTGCAACACAAGCCACAGAAGAACTTCTTGTAAACAATGTAGATTCACTTAGAAGATGGATTAGAAACAAATCATTAGTGTAGATTAATAATTTACTTAAACCACAGTACATAATTATCAATTTCAAATACACTGAGTAAGCATTTCTCTCATCCAAGCGATAGTATCAGTTTAAAGATAACCAAGACTACATTGGTGAGACTAATGTCATTTCCTGGCATCACATATATGGGAAACCATAGGGCATAGGAATCATAAGTTAACTACCAAGTCACCCCAAAGCACGAAACGTAGAGAAAATTTGTATAAGGTTCTTTGATGCGTTATCCTTGCATGGTACGAGGAAAACAGTTCTAAGGAGACATGTATGCACGAATTCTAAGCGTTCTCACTATAACCCAAAAAAATAAAGGAAACTAAAAGAATGATAAAAACCATAGAAACCAAGTACCACAAAAATGATTGGATAAATTAATAAGAAAGTCCTAGACAATATTGCCTTGTTATGAGCTTTTTTCTATAAAGTGAGGACGATATATGCAGAGAATTGAGATCATTTTAAGCGTAAAATCCAGAATAGAAATTATGTATATTTGATTAGAATTCAGAAATTAATTGTTTCGTTTAACTATTGCAGTGTATATTATAAGTATTTAATTAAGTTGGGGTTGTCTATATAAATAAGCTTTATTGTAATGGGGTATTAACTTGGGCATATTGATGTGGAAACAATTTTTTTAGTTAACCCTAATTTTATCAGCCAAAAGAGAGAGTTTAGCCTAATTTGGTTTTTCTCGCCTCTTGTTCTACTTCTCCCCATTCTTTGTAAGCTTCTAAATTTTATCTCCCTCTATTATTTCTTTTGTTGACAATCAAGGAACCTACATTGGTTTCTGATTCAAACGGGAAACAAGTCAGGGAACCTAAATGGTAAAAATCAACTGCTCCCATTCAACCCCAACCATACAGAGCAAGGAGAAAGTTATATGGAAACAATAGTTGTCACAAAGCAGGATAACAAGAAAGCTGTATATAGGTCAAATAAAGCAGAAGTACGAAAAAGTGTAGACAATGTATAACTATGACTTACGCTCAAAAGAACATGGATGCTTCTTTCTTGATACTACCTAATTGCTTTCCAACTTTATTCAAGCAATCTATATACGGTCAAAATAAACCTACATAAATGTTTTTGTCTCGAGGAGAAGAACTTCATGCTTGTTTTAGTTAATGCTACAGAAGCAAGTTAACTAGCTTCATCTACTCACAAACTAATTATAGGGGGATGGAAATAAACATTGCTGGTGGTTAGTGAACAGCGAATTTTTTTTTTTTTTGGTCGAAACAGCGAAACTAAAGTATTAGATCTCGCATTTGCTAAGAGGGGAAGTGAAAGGAGAACACAATGTGGTCTTTGTTGGGGCTAGGGGTAGAATCAGGGAGTTAATTGGGTTCAGGTTGCAACTTCCATATGAGTTTTAAACCTATCTCGCATTTGCTAAGAGGGGAAGTGAAAGGAGAACACAATGTGGTCTTTGTTGGGGCTAGGGGTAGAATCAGGGAGGTAATTGGGTTCAGGTTGCAACTTCCATATGAGTTTTAAACCTTATGAAATGAAATAGGATAAAAAAGAAACACAAATAAATAAAATCAGATGCTTGCAGTTAACTAACACTAACTGAGAAAAAAACATTCAATTTTCGTTTCACGTAATATCAACGAGCATTCCAGCTAATGAAAGAAAATATACAAAACGCAGCTCATCATAAAGTTCAAGAAAGATTTTGCACAATAAACATCTCCATTTTATAATCAAATACAAAAAAGAATACTGGAATTAGGAAGAACTTGTCACCTTCTCTTTTACGGCTTCTTCTCTATCTGAGATCTGATTCTGCTTTTGAGAGATGCTTGGAGTTGCATCAAGGTCAACCACAAGTGGTTGCCTCCACTCAAACTGGGAAGTGATTATGAGAACAATAAGCAGAAAAACAAGCAACACAGGTCTTGACATCATTCACAGTTCTACTACACCTGTTCAAATTCAAGTCAAGAAAAAAAAACAAATCACAAACCAAGAATCTTCAGTTGGTTAGCAATCAGCATAAACACTTAAAGGAAGCAGGAGTTATATTCTAGTTCTATATTCCACGACTTACATTGCTTTGATTTCTAGTATTGCAAAAGAGTTTAAGAAGGAAATTAAAATTGCCCTCGATTTCCTTCACATGAAATAGATGTTTAAGGAACAAAGTTCTAGTGAATACTGTTCGGTAGCTTAGGCACATTATTTCAAGAGAATGTTTTCCTGATTCTGCCTCTGCTTCAACTTTACATCAGGTGGAAAATATTTCTAGTCTTTTACTTTAGAAAACATTTCCTAAGCAGTCTTTTGCGTCTCAGAAATTTTTTCCACAAAGGCTCTAATGCTTATGGGTCTGAAGAAAAAACAAAGAGAACTTTCTACAAGAACCAGTTTCTGCCGAAATAAAATCTTTCTGCTTTAAACAAACATCCAACCTTTCTAGCGTCGACACTTTCCTCATAAACAATTCCCCATTGAAATTAATGAATCACCTTATTCTGGCAATCATTATTACTTGTTCAAATGACTCAGAGTCTACCATTGAGAAAATAATGACCCTTTTCAGGTCCCAAAAATTCCCAGCAACCAAACAAACCCAATGTTCACTGAAGCAGCACATGAGAAGATACACTAACCGAAGAAAATTTGAAACAATCAAAGTCACAGGATGCAAATGAAAAATCATAAGTAATAAGAAACAACGCTGAAATGAAATCAATCCAACCCTCTTATGTCAAAAAATAAAAAAGGGCACATGTCGAACTTGTTAGTTCCACTTCAATTAAATCCAAACGATCAAATTAGATTCAACTAATTACAAAGCAGTTCAATTAGGCTCTGTCTCAACCAATCCCATACAAATACAAATAATTGATTTATGATTGAAACGCGAAACGGTTTCCCTTCCAAGAATTTGAATTTTCCCGGGAAACAAACAGAATCCAGAAATTGAGACTCAACCAACAATAGGAAATTAGCTGACGGCAATGGAAATGAAAGGGAAGACTTACAGATTGGCGTGGTCAATAGAACCCTAAGTTCATGATCGGTGCCTCGATACTTGAATATGGCTACTAGAATTGATAAACGCCATCTGCTGTCCGCTGCAATGATTTTTATTTTATTTTATTTTTTATTTTTGGGTTCAGACTGATTAATTTAATTTGTGTGCTTTTTTTTAATACGAATTTAATTTGTGTTGAATAGGATGTGAATTTTCTTGAAAAAGAATTGACATCCGGCGGACATCAGAAATGGCGAGAAGGGGTTGACCAAAAAAAAAAAAATGGCGAGAAGGGCTTTGTGGTCTGCGAGGGTTGGGATCCTCTACTTTAGAAGTCCTGCATTTTTCTGCTTTAAAGTATCTTGACTGTTCAAGTGATCCAAGGGTCATAAGTTACTCCAAGTCTGCATAACAAATATCTTTATCAAGATCACCTCCCCTACCTGCTGATCACAAAGTTAAAAGGGTGATCTCTACTCCCATAAATATAAACGTTAAAAACGGCAAATTCATATTGAGAATCAAAGCTAAATAGGAAAATAAATAAATAAATACGAAGCAAGACCACCGCTTCACATTCTGCAACCCAAAGAGATTCATAGCGACCATGGGCATAACTAGATTAATAGGGATATTTTTGGGGATAGAAAAAGTCAAACATATATATTTGCCTTATTTATTTTTATTTGATAATGTGTGTTTTTGGAGATAAAAAAAATCAAACATATATATTTGACTTGTTTTAAATATAACTTTAGCTAGTCGTCCACCTATTGAAATTTTTTTGGTTCCGCCCTTGATAGCGCCATATCCTATGTTGCACGAACACTCCAAACTGCTGGAGTGTCGAACACAGCCGACACAACTCCGACACGCCCCCGACACACATTGGACATGGTCAATGGTTGGGATACGGTTAAGACACGGCTCCGACATAGTCAAGACACAACAGGGACCAGTTTTAAAATTTTAAAATAAATCCCGGGTCTAATGTAATTTTTGAAACTTTGGTGGACTGATTTGAAATATTTTTAAAAATATGGGCTAAAAGTGGAAAAAGACTTTTTTAAACCTAAATATCACTTTTTCTGCTGCCAAAGTTCATTTCCTCCGTCATAGCTCCTCCCCCCTTCTCCTAGTTTTGCACAAGGTAAGTCTCTTTGCAATTTTGTTTTCTCTGTTTTCAAATGCATTTATTTATGTTCTCTATTTTCTTTTTTATCTCCCTCCACAACAGTAGAAGAGTTGGACTTGGTGGTGAGTTGACAATTCTTTCTTCTATTTTTTTTTTCAAGAGAAACACAACAAATAATAACAACAATAATGAAGACATAGATGCTTGAAGAAGATTGAGAGTTAGATCATTTATGTTTTATTTTGTGATCTATTAATTATTATCTATGGATGATGAACATTAGCTATTTGTTTTGTTTTATGGAATTATGTGACATTGAAGTATTGAGAATAAATTATTATTTTAATTGCCGTGTCCTAGCCGTACCCGTGTTCTAATTTTTTGAGATTTTCCTTGTAGCCGTGTCCCCGTGTCGCATTCCCGTGTCCGTGCAACATAGGCCATATCAGCTAAATCTATAGTGTTGCATCGTCTAAACCCAAACCCAACGCAACACGATATCTTCCTCGTACATGTGGGCAATGGTAGATCCGGAAATTTTTATGGGAGTGTGCTAAATTCAAATGCATTTATTTATGTTCTCTATTTTCTTTTCTTATCTCCCTCCACAACAGTAGAAGAGCTGGACTTGGTGGTGAGGTGACAATTCTTTCTTCTATTTTTTTTAAGAGAAACACAACAAATAATAACAACAATAATGAAGACATAGATGCTTAAAGAAGATTGAGAGTTAGATTATTTATGTTTTATTTTGTGGTCTATTAATTATTATGTATGGATGATGAACATTAGCTATTTGTTTTGTTTTATGGAATTATGTGACATTGAAGTATTGAGAATAAATTATTATTTTAATTGCCGTGTCCTAATTTTTTGAAATTTTCCGTGTCCCCATGTCCCCGTGTCGCGTTCCCGTGTCCCCGTACCTGTGTCCGTGCAACTTAGGCCATATCAGCTAAATCTATAGTGTTGTATCGGCTAAACCCAAACCCAACGCAACACGATATCTTTCTTGTATACGGGGGCAATGGTAGATCCGGAAATTTTTATGGGAGTTTGCTAAATATCTATTATAATGGTGGTTATGTTTTTTCCCCATATAACAGTGATTATGGTTAACCATCATCATATAAGCCAAGATTTAGGAAGCAAAAGTAACTTAAAAGAACCAAAAATTCAAAAAAAAAAACACAAAAGAATCTCAGAGAAATTGAAAAGTTCATAAATTTAGTAAAGGCCTTGTGCCTAAAATCAGAACGGAGCTTCATAAAGTAGAAATTGAAAAAAAGATATGAGAAATTATAGAAGTATCGAGATGAGCACTGATACCATCATAACAATATGGATTGAGCAAAGGAAATAGTATAGTAGAAAAGAATTACAGAGAAAAAACCAGAACATCATGCTTATATTTGTATTTTTAATCTCCAATAAACAATTTAACGGTTTTCATGAAGAAAAAAAACAATTTATATGAAAACATTGTGTTGCAACACACAAAATGGAGCATGATAAAGAGGAAATTATCATTTACCTTTATAATAAACAATCTATTATATTACCTTTATGGAGCACGTGGGGCCTTTCTTTTGAAGGTTGTGAGGCCAACAGGAGCACATATCAACAACATTTATTATATAAAAAAAGTATCTATCTTTATTATAAAAATGCATCACACGGGCTCCAAAGTTGCATCACATGGATTCCAATCAATCTAAAGCTGGGATTACACAGAGGTGGGCTTATTTCTACATAGAGGTGTAGGCTAATATTTGATTTACCTAGTTTGGGCTTGGACAACTTAGTCTAAGTTGTATATACTAAAAATTCAGCCCTGGCTAGAGCCCACTCGCTCACATAGATCCGCCTGTGTACATGGGTCAAAAGACAACGACAATTTCATGGCAATGACCACGTTTCACGGTGGCTGATTCCACATAACAAAACGAAGGAACAAAGAATGATCATGAGGGGAAAGGGCGAGGGAGGGAAGGTGGGTAGGGAAGGAAATTGCTAATCATGGCCTCTTGTGTCAAATTGCTAATCATTTAAAGCAATTTATTGCAATTTGAGGATTTTTTTTTATGTGGTATATAAATCCTCTTTTTGGATCTTCTACGCTAATTATATGTTTAATTTTTTCCTATTTAATCCAAGAAACTTCAAGTTGACACATTACCTTAAGACAATAGCTTAATTTTCTCTCAATTAAAAAAGAAAAAAAAAGCCCCAATTGACTTAACGTCTTTCGGTCATTAGTCTTTTCTTCTTCCATTTCAATGTTTCAGCAATATATTTTTTTTTTCCCCAAAATCTTCGTAAACACCTATCTTCTCATTAGGGATGGGCATTCAAACCAAGAAACCGAGTCACATTGAGTCGAAAAAACAAGGGGGAAAAACCGAGTTGACCAAAAATGGACCAAGTTGGCAAAAAATTGAACCGGACCAGTTTGGTCCAATTCTAATTCCAGTTCTTGTAGTAAAAAAATAAACCGAGCCAAACCGAACTGGCTTAAATGCATATTATTTATTTATATAATATTAGGCCTAACCCAATTTTTTCTCCAAGCCTAATCTTTCTTCAAGCCCATACACTCTTCCAAGCCATCAAGCCCAACTACAAGGCCCTTATTTGTTTTTTAAGCCCAAAAAATAAAATTTTAGTTGGAATTTATATAAAAATAATAATAGTAATCCAATCTAAAATCGGACTGAATTGGAAACTATACCAGAACCAGTTCAAACTGAACTAGCTGGTTTTATAATTTTTTTCACTACAACCAGACCAAACCGAATAGGTTAAATAGTATTGGTTCTAATTCCGATTTAAGGTGAAAATCAAACCAAATCAGACCGTATCCACCCCTACTTCCCAACTCATGGTTTATAATGTTTCCCTAATTATTTAAATTAAAAAAGAAGAAGGTAAAAATCTCTTATTTTCTCATATGTCCAATATCGCAATTATGACATATCACTTACAAGGCTTGAACTCAGAAACGGATTTTTTTAGCCAATGGGTTCCCACCACAGCGGTGTTGGATTGCCCCTCCCCCTATGGCACCCACGATCGAACCCCCAGTGAAATTTATTTCCTACAATGGAAAAAAAAAAAATTGATTTTTGAGAAGAAAAAGGATGGGCATTTCGCTATAGCTATTTATTGGAACTTGAAAATGAATTCAATGTTATTTTATTTAACTCTTTCACAACAAAGGCTTAAAGCCCAAGCAGAAAACTAAGCCAAGAGACAAACAACCCATTGGGCAAGTTACAGATGGCTCTTGTACTGGAGAAATCCAAGAAATCATCTACCACATCAAGAAGAGGATTCTCGAAGAAAGTGAACCAAGATCAGAGCAAAAGTCTGAAATTCTACAGTTGGAACTAAACAACATATGCGTTTAGGCATTCCGTTATTTATTTTGCCAACTTATTACATTGAACATTTTTCTCAAGCTTGTTCAAAGATGCAAAACCTTGCGTTCACATTAGTGAAGCCTCCATCTACCAAAAGATTATGTCCACTAACATACTTTGACTCATCACTTCCCAAGTAAAGAGCAGCTTCAGCAATATCTTCTGCCTTAAGAACCTCTCCTTTAAGGTTGGAATAAACACCATGAACTCCATCATCATCAAGCTTAAAGAAGTCCTTCGCCAACGGCGTGGCAACTATATATGGCGACACACAATTCACCCGAATACCGTGTTGTCCAAGCTCTATGGCCGTATTTCTCACCAGCCCTAGTACTCCATGCTTTGAACTCGTGTACGCATGTGATGCGCACCCCCCAATGGTGGAACAAGCACTGGCAGTGTTAATTATGCTTCCTTGGCCAGCTGAGATCATAACACGAGCCGCATGTTTGATCCCCAAAAACACACCAACCAAATTTACCCCAATCACTTGCTCAAATTCTGCCTTGTCATTGTCAAGGATGTTGGTTTTTGCTGTACCAGCTATGCCTGCATTGTTGAACATGATGTCTAGCTTTCCATATTTGCTTGTGGCCGCTCGCCCCACCAGTGATTAGTGCCACTTTACCTTCAAGCCTTCAATATTGACGCAGAGTGTTAGTTTCAGTAAAAACATAAATAACAATGGCATCACTTTCATATGGTGAAAGTCTTATGTTC